TTCTTTCATGTATTCTGAGATTCCTGTTATGTGCAAAGGCTTTACCACATTGATTACATTCATAGGGTTTCTCTCCAGTATGTGTTCTTTCATGCCTTTGAAGATGACTGTCAAATGCAAAGGCTTTAACACATTGAGTATATACAGAAGGCTTCTCTCCACTACTACTTCTTTCATGCCTGCAAGGATAATTGGCACATGTAAAAGCATTACCACATTCAATACACTGTTGAATCTTTATATCTATATGAATTAATTTCACTATTTGGTCCAATTGTAAAAAGGAATCAGATCTTAAGGTTTTATCACTGTGTTTACACTTGTGTTGTAACCCTTCATTAAGGGTTGTTTTGTATCTTTGAAGATACCTGTGATGGTAAGATCCTTTATTACATGGTTTACATTTACAGAATCTTTTTTCTATATGAAATTTTTCACATATTTGAAGAGAACTGGAAAAACTCATAGCTTTACCACCCTTATTGCATTCATAAATTTTCCTATAATGTGAGTCATACTACATTTGCAAAGTGAACTAGGAGAAACAAAAGTGTTTACATAGTCCTAGTGCTCATAGGGCTTTTTTGCAGTGTGAGTTTGTTGATGTATTAACAATGAAACTGGAAAACCAATTACTTGTATATTTGAATCAAATTCAACAAGTATACTCAACGTGGGGACTGCTATACATTTTCTAATTGTTCTTAGAGAGAGGTATGTGAAATTTTTCCATATCCCTATGCTCATATGGCTTTTATCCAGAGTGACATATCATATGCCTAGTAAAGGGAAAATAATGAATAAAAAGGTTTCTACATTGAATTTACACAGTTTGACTTTCTGTTCCTCTAGACATGTGGTATAGGTATTAAGGTTTCTCCACAACAACTTTCTCTTGACTCTTGACTCTGACTGCCCCTCTTACTAAATTTAGCACAGTCACAACAAGTATATGAATTACACTAGCTTTTCTATGGACTATTTGCTTATTAGAAGGTTTTGGAGATATAATCATCACCTCTTCAACATGTATAGCTTCTGTAATATGAGTGGTATGAAACTAAATAGATTGGCAGTTCTACAGCCTAGCTCCCATGGTGTTATGATTCAAATGGTGATATCTGTTAAGGCATAGTTTCCTTGTCTTCTGTCTTAAAATAATGCCTTGCAAATACAATTCACCTACCTGAAATGAGGTATATGGTTTTGTGAGAATTTAACAATCATCAATGCACATTAAGCTGTGCTTATTTACACTGTTGCTTTTGTTTAAAACTTCCAGGACACATTAAAATTTCTTCAGAGGCACACTGGTATGAGCTTTCACATGAAAATTACCTTTCATGTCTTCTAGAACTTTGACAATGTTCTTCAATATTATGGTCTTCCCAACTGTATCCTAAAATATATACCAGAAAATGTATGTTATGCTATTGAAAACTGTGCAAAATTTAAGTTACTGTCTTCAGGGTATCTTAGAACCATGCCTGATTTATGCACCTCACTCTTCTTAATCAAATTACAGAAAAACATAAAAAACAAGGAACAGTTGTCTTCTTATTTTAAAACTTGAAGGAAAATTCAATCCTACCTACAGTAGTGAGGTTCCAGTAGGTCTCCAGCATCACATCTTTGTAGAGATTCTTCTGGGAAGGATCCAGCAAAGTCCACTCTTCCCAAGTGAAGTTGACATGCACATCATCATAGGTCACTGCATTCTAAAATATCCCACACATGTATACAACAGAAAGCATGATACTGACAACATTGTAAATGTATACTTCTTTGATAGTATAGTCATGTAATTCTGGTGCTCCCCACACTTATTCCATGACATAGACATTATAATGCAATCACCAAGTCATTTTAGAAGGAAACTAAATAGGAAGTTCACCTCTGTCATTTCTGTACCCTGTGAATGGAATATCAACTTGCAAGAGAAAATACTTACTAAAAAACATAGAGAGACAAGTAAACAGATCAACAATATAGAGTACACATGAGAGAAATTGTATGAATAATTACTAACTGCAAAAAAGAAAAATAAGATAGAGAAGCTGAGTGTATTGGTTCATACCTTTAATCCCTGCACTCAGAAGTCAGAGGCAGTTATATCTGTCTCAGAGTTGAATGCCAGCCTAGTCTATGCAATCAGTTACAGGACAACCAGAAGTACATATTAAGACCCTGTCTCCTGTGCAAAAATCAGTCAAACAAACAAAAAAGACAGAACTTAGAGGTTTTTTTTTTTACTAGAGTTCTTACAAAGAGTTATGCATTCACTCCACTTCTGTATTCATCTTCCACAAACCTGAAGTGCCTCAATTTAAACTGTAACATCAATAAGTTTTTACTAAAAGACACTGCATAATGAAACAAAAGTTATAAATGGACAGATGAAAGCATTAGCAATATAAATGTTGATCATAACACAGGGCAGAAGAGATGGCTCAGTAGTAAAGAGCTCGTGCTAGTCTTGCATAGAGGTGGGGTCCATTGCCAGTACTTACTTGGGGGAATCACAACTATCCATTATTCCAAGTTCAGGGTTTCTGAGACAATTTTTTGAATACTGTGAGGATCACATGTGGTACATATCCATGCATACAGGTAAAGTACTCATTTTCATTAAAAAATTCAAAACAAACACAACAGGCAGGAAGAAGGTGATGTACCTGCAATACAATGACTCAGAAGCTTCAGGCAGTATTAATGCCATGAATACATGTCATCCTGGGAAACAAAATGATACCTCTGCCAAAATTTAAGTTATGAGTAAAGCTCAGTACAACAGCATATACTTGACATGGACAAAAACCTACATTCTAGGCCCATCACACAATAATATAAAAACAAAAAAGCCAAGAATGTTGGCCCACCTTTAATTCTAGCACTTGTGAGCCAGAGTCAAGGGCATCTCTGAGTCTGAGGCCAGCCTGGTGTATAGAGCTACTTTCAGGACAGCCAGGGCTACACAGACAAACCCTGTTTTCAAAAACAAACAAATTAAAAAAAAAACAACAACAGAAGGGTAGAAAACTGGCTTAGCAAAGAATATCAATTGCTTCTACTGAATCTTATGTGATTTAGGGATAGAGTCTATAATGGTGGTGAAGGCATGACAGGAGAAGAAGGAAGCTGGCTGATTTGTTCAAACACAACACGGTAGACCCAAAGAACAGGAAATGGGCTGAGTCTATAGAGACTCATATCACATCCCCAGTGAGGATTTCATCAAGGAAGGCTCCTCCTACTAAAGGTTTCAAAAACAATTGATAGAAAGTCATCAAAGTGAGACACATGTTCAAATACATCATCCTATCTGGGAGGTTTTTTATTCAACTGCATTCTGATCCAGGTCATCTATGAAGAAAATGCATTTAGTCACTTCAATGATCCTCATAGTCTGCATCAACCCCTACACTGTTCAAATGTCCAAAGTCTCTTCTGACACCCAAGATGATCTCTTGACTGTGATATCTTGTAAAATCAGAAAACAACTTACATCTTTCAAACATACAATGGTACAAAATATCATTCACATTCCAAAATAGAGAAATAGAGACATATTGAGAGAAGATTGGACCAAGGCAAGACTGAAGCACAGCAGCACAAACATCAAATCCTGTAGCTCTGTCTCAGATTCATGGAACTTCAATTCCAAAGGGCTTAGATGGCCCTATCCCCAAAACTTCTCATACATCTCTCCCTTCAGTTACTTTGACTCCCTATATGCAGCTAGCTCTCCCTGGAAGATATCTCATAGGTTAGGTATCTCAACATGTTGTGGTGTCAAAATGCAACCCAGGATGTTATAGAATATTATTTTAAGATGTATTATATTTGTTTATGCCGTGGAAGATTTGTTTTAATGATGCAAAGACGTGTTGCATTCTTTTATGTTACATTTGTTTAACTCTGTGAAGTTGTGATACTTTGCCTGTTTAAATACCTGATTGGTCTAATAAAGAGCTGAAAAGCAAATAGTTTGGCAGGAAAGGATAGGTGGGGATGGCAGACAAAGAGAATAAATGGGAGGAGAAATCTAGGAGGAAAAAAAGGAGAAGCAAGAGGAGGACACTGGGAGCCAATCACCCTGCTACACAGCAAGCCATGGTATAAGAATTAAAGAACAGTATACAGAATAGAGAAAGATAAAAGCCCAGAGGCAAGAGGTACATGGAATAATTTAAGTTATGCTGGCTAGAAAGAAGCCAAGGTAAGGTCAGACATTTATAAGTAATATTAAGACTCGGTGTGATTGATTTGGTAGCTGTGTGGTGCCCGCCCCCCCCAAAAAAGAATAAAGAACAAAAGAGCTAAGAGCGAGAATAATAACAACCAACAACATTTTGGCATACCAACGTGAGACTTGACTTTCACGGCTCCTTTAAGAGTTTCTTCCTTACAGAAAGTCCTTGAGCAGCAGGTACATTTAAAAAAAAAAAAAAAAAAAGGAAAAAATGCCCATGGCAGTGCAAGTATCTGCATTTTATAGCTAGGAAGGTTGAACACAATTTTCTGTCATGCATCCCCTATTGGGCTGCAAGCTTTAGGCTTGGCTTTCACAACCTGAGAAGCAGACAGAGCCAGTCACCAAAGCCACAGGCAGAGGACCCAGCTGTTGCTTAGCAGTTTAAAAGTTTGCTCATGTAATCAAAAAAGACTAAGTGATATGCAGTAAAAGAGGATCAGATGGAGAAAAAAAAAAAACTGCGACCAAGTTCCAGTTTGTTTCTCAAAGAAAGAAATAAATGGATTAAAAATAGTAAAGTCTTTAAAGAGACAGTAAAAATAATATAGAAGAAAGAAGCCATGTAACCATGGGAAATACACAGAGAGTCTAGATCCTATATATTACTATGTTGATTTTGAATTTTTTGAATGTTGATGAGCAAAGAACAACTGCTTGCAGACATAGGATTGTAAACTGAACTGCAAAACTAAACCAATCTAGATGCTTTAGGGCTATCTTAACTTTAAAATGGAAGTCAAAAAATATATGTGTCAAATGGAAATAAAAAATGCTTTGGAGAAGAGTTTTTGCTTTTATTCCCATAGGAGATGAGAGGCTGTGGATTCCCTTCAGGGATGAGATGGATCAGATTTGATCAGGGGACACTTCCTGAATATTGGCAGGTGAGATCTACCAACAAAGGTTATCACCTGTCTTCCCAGGACTTGGCCATTATCTCAAATTTTCTCTCTGCGACCCTAAAGATGCCTTCAACCATAGACTACAGGAAGCAGTTTGGAGAACATGGTGCCCACATTCCCAAGAGCTTTTGGTTATTTGGTGAGTTATGGATGTGTGTTACTACTTAGGGGAATATAGGATAAAAAAAACAACTATTAATCTCAGATATTTTACATTGGCATGGATTTTGGTATATTGATAAAAAAATTAAAGTTGCCGGGCGGTGGTGGCGCACGCCTTTAATCCCAGCACTCGGGAGGCAGAGCCAGGCGGATCTCTGTGAGTTCGAGGCCAGCCTGGGCTACCAAGTGAGTTCCAGGAAAGGCGCAAAGCTACACAGAGAAACCCTGTCTTGAAAAACAAAAAAAAAAAAAAAAAAAAAATTAAAGTTAATTTTTGTAACACTCTCTATGTGTGTCTACTCTTGTTTGGGGTATTGTGCTTTACACCTCATTTAAAAATGCAATGTATATTAAGAAATGAGGTTAGTAGTTAATCTATAATAATCAAACTTGTAGTCACATTAAGTATTTTTCAAGGTTAAATAGGTATATTTTAGACAGATAAATGGTCTTCAAACACTTCAAACACCTATAAATGTGGCATTTAAAATGTTTTGTTAACATAAGGTTTTTTTCATGACAATGAGACACATCTGCTCCTGGCAGTACCAATTTACTTCATAAAAGGATGATGGGCATTGAAGAAATTCCATGGGAGTTTGCTTTCATTGTGGCAAGATTAGCCATTTGGGAAAGAAACTGCTTTTGCCTTGACTTCTTGACAGTGTGCTGTGCAGACTGGATATGTAGGACCCACATGAAACTGACTACTGAACTTTGCCAAAACAAGGCAAGACAGTCCATTGAAGTTCCTGTTTCACTGAAGAGTCTGTCAGATATTCTGCAGGACACAGAGGAAAATGACTGAGAAATTTTGTCAATACAAGGCAGGACAGTCCTACAAACTTCCCACTTCACTGAAAAGTCTGCCAGATACTCTAGGCATGTAGGCTGAAGATGAATGTCCAAATGTTGTAGGGGAAATTTGTGTGACTGTCCAGGCAGATGTCTCTGTTGTTAGGTAATATTAATTCCTTCTGGGCTCTTTGATGAAATTAAAGAACAAATAATTAGAGTTTCAGTTTTCCATAGTTATGATAGAAAGCAAATTAGGTATTAAATTTTAGAGTCACTAAGATGGGATGGATAATAGAGTGTTTTCTCTGAATTTACTAAATACAAATGGACTGAATATTGTAAATGTAATTCTTACTTGACAACTGTTTTGTTGTATATAGTTTTATTATATTAAAGTTAAAACCTTTCATTTTATTTAGACAAAAAGGGGGAAATGTGGAATGTTATTTTAAGATGTGTTATATTTGTTTATGCCATGGACGATTTGTTTTAATGATGCAAAGATGTGTTGCATTCTTTTATATTGCATTTGTTTGACTCTATGAAGCTGTGATACTTTGCCTATGTAAAATACCTAATTGGTCTGATAAAGAGCTGAGTGGCCAATAGCTTGGCAGGAAAGAATTGGCAGAGCTGGTGGACTGAGAGAATAAATGGGAGGAGAAATCTGGGAGGAAAAAAGGAAGGAGGAGCAATAAAAGGAGAAGACACCAGGGGCTAGCCACCCAGCTACACAGTACACCACAGAGTAAGAAGACAGGTATACAGAATAGAAAATGATAAAAGCCCAGAGGCAAAAGGTAGATGGGATAATTTAAAAAGTTGAGAAAAAGCTGGCTAGAAACAAGCCAAGCTAAGGCTGGGCATTTCTAAGATAGAATAAGCTTACATGTGTGATTTATTTGGGACCTGGGTCGCAGCCCCCAAAAGAGTAACGAGAAAACAACAACAACAACAAACACCTGGCTGCATCATTACAGCTTTATGCAATGAACTCTAAGTGTCTCCTCACTGGGTTTCTGACTCTATCAAACATAGACACCTGCAACAATGCTGAACTGTAACCACAGACTTTAA